AAATGTTTATAAACATAGAAATACACACGATTCAACTAAAGTTCTTCTTCAAAACTTCATTTTCAGACCTCTGACTCCAAATTTTACAAAAAACAAACATAATTCAGCTTATTTTCTTCTTTTAAGCTCTATTTTCTGACCTTTGACTCCAGTCTACTCTTATATCACTCAGTACCCAGTCCTCACTCAGACCTTAGCTGATACACTCTGACAAATGTCTTTCTACTCTTTCAATCAATTCAGAACATAATGTACATGTCATTCTGATTACACCAAGTGATGTGGAACTTATTATCCTTCCACTCAAGAACATTACTCAGTTTTGTTTAGGCTTAAAGAAAGAACACATGATAACAATCAACTATTCAGTTACAACAATTCATCAGCAGACTTAATAAACATCCAAGCATCAGTTCACAACCTTGGTCCAAATCACAAWAACCATGGGAGACTCTGTCCAAATCAAAATAAACAACCGTTCATACACTTACTCCTCAGAATAACCTTTGTATGATAATTTGCAAGAATCCAGCCATTGTAAATTTAATGTAATTCCCCAKAACTTTTCTAACGTTGCTATTTTACTATATTCAACCATATCTCTCAWTTGGTACTTCTAATCAGAGTCCACAATTTCCTCATTCTGGTAGTTCTTAAATTAATATTTTCCTGTGTACTATCCATGTTTAACTCCTTCATTGCTGAGAAGAACCTGTCGTCCTCAGAACATATTTAATGTGAACATCATTACCTCATCAAATCAACTTAACTCAGGTCACTTTTTAATTGCTTTATTTAATTTAATTTTAATTACTCTCTGGCTGTTTACTCCAAGGTTCACCCACTAACTATTCTATTGCAGTAAAATCATTTTTAAACCCATGTATATTTAAAACTGCTGTCTTTGTTGTTTATATGCTTAGCTAGGAGCTGTGCTATGTTGGTAGTGATGTGGGAGAAATGATGATCATTTATTCCCCCATTCAACCCGTTTATGCTCGGTCAAAATGATTCCTCACATCATATTGACGTATAAACCAGGCTTAACAACTGTAACACCAGCAGGTAGGTCTTGTCATCCACCATAAATGCTCCATCGTAGCCTCTGATCAGTGGCAGAACCAGAACACTGTACATCACATCTTGTCTTCAACAGTCTTCTTGCTTTCATGCATTTTTTACCATTCTGCAGCGTTATAGCCAATCAGACCAGSCAGCACTTAGCAAAATCAGGACCATCTGAGCCCGTACATCTGTATTAGTGACTCAAGAGTTTCCAGAGTTATATTTTTGCCAGCAGGGTTTGAGCAGCTTGCCTGGCAGCAATGCAGGCCATGCTTAGTAAGCCAGGACTTTTCACGTGCGCGGCATCACGGCCAAACGTTCCATGCTAACTGCGCTCCCCGTGCCTGCTCTGTCCATCCGGGCRCTTCTTCCCCTTCGATTGGCTTCATCACTTGGCTTCAAGCTGAGTCTAAATGTCATGTAGTTGCACTACAAGTCAGAAATTACTGTGGGATGCAAAAAGATTGATGTGCAATGGAGATGAGCGTACCAACAAAATAAAAGTAGTCCACAAGCATTTCACAAAACGCTGTGAAGACACTGTCTGGGTCCGAAACCCTGAGCGGGTCCAATTTAAAGGGATCCCTGATTAGTTGTAATATTAGACTTTATTTAATAAACATATATTTTAACTGTAAAATAAAGACTGTAAAATAATGTAGGCTGCTTAGTTTCGTAAATTTTTAAAAATTATATTTTAACACGGGGGGAGCCATTTTATTTACACACAAAGCATTCTGGGTAAATGATGACGTGGATAGGTCCTCGGTGTGAGCGAGCTATATCCACCCTGAAGGTTAATCTTGGACAATATCTGATGATCGACTCTTTTAAATGAAACCAGAGAGCGTTGACAGAGAGGAGAAGGTAGAAATGACTCAGCCTGGAACTGAAAATATGGATGGAGGACAACAGAGCTGCTTCATGGAAGAAGAACCTCAGCTTACAGGCTGAGTCATTTCTACCTTCTCCTCTCTGTCAACGCTCTCTGGTTTCATTTAAAAGAGTCGATCATCAGATATTGTCCAAAATTAACCTTCAGGGTGGATATAGCTCGCTCACACCGAGGACCTATCCACGTCATCATTTACCCAGAATGCTTTGTGTGTAAATAAAATGGCCCCGTCCGTGTAATATATTTTTAAACTTTTAGTTTAAAATGATAAAAACTGAACATCCTACAGTATTTTTACAGTCTTTATTTTACAGTTAAAATATATGTTTATCAAATAAAGTCTAATGTTACAACTAATCATGGATCCCTTTAAAGGCTGTTACTGTAACATAAACCCCTCAAGCTCTTACTAAACAACTAAAGACAAAAAAAATCAGACTCACCTGTTTCGGCTGTTTGCTCCTCTGGGTGTAAAATGACTCCAGCTGCAGGGAAGGGGCAGCAGTCACCTGCAATCTATTCTTCACCTGCAGACATCTGCCCATGGGAGGGGCCAAAAACCTGCAGACGAGGAGAACACAAGGTGCTTTACGCAAACGACGTGGGCTCATCCGGACACAGAGCCGACACTTTCAACAGCACGTGTGCACGTGATGACACCAGTTTGAGCTTTTGCTCTGTGTTTAATAAAATCTCTTTAGGCGTTCTTAAAATACACAGATACAAGTCGGAAGGAAGAAGAGATTGCTTTGGGTCTTTTTTTTGTTTGTTTGTTTTGGTTAATCAACATTTGACATTTAAAGAAAACCCTGTGTGACTGATTTATGACAAACTCCCTAAACACACAAGCAATGTGTCAATCAACAAAAAACAATTAGGATTCCTGATTAACGGCCTGTTGCACAAATCACTCAATTCTTCCAATTACAGGAGATCAACGCTTTTAAGCAAATTTAAGTGATAACCGCGACGCGCAATCATTATTTGCTCAGCAAATAATCAAGCTTTTAATTACCTCCCTTTGTTCTGTCTTTTTCTCTCAAATTCCCAAAGCGTTTCTTTTTTCCTGATGACAACAATGCCTGCACCCACTATCCACCTGCTCACATCCTCCTACAAAACCCTCAGCACAACGATGAAGGGAAGGCTGCGAGACGCTGCCTCTGCATTCACTTCATCCTCGTGTTTCAAAGACAACATAAACGTTGAAATAGTGAGGATTAACGTCATGTCGCTGCAGGATGAGGTGTCGAGGCTGCTCGCTCCACTGCAGRGAAGACGTTTACTAATCAACACACGGCTGAGGTGCGCTGTACCTCTCAAACACACAGCGAAGAGTGACGAAACCCAGAGCGAGAGGCAGAGTTAGCAGGAGGTCCTGGGGCTGAGGTCGCTCAGAGTCTGCCAGCTGCTCCATGTCTGTCCAGGTCACGCCAGGAGGAAGCCAGTAGTCCTGGCTCCAGAGGTCCGGCAGCAGGTCCATGTTGAAGACTCAGAGGMAGGAAAACTGCAGATCAGCAGAACATGAAATCCTGTTTTCAGCTTCAATCTGATGAAAAGACAGCATGTACTGATGAGAGGCCATAATTTAGTTAAGAGATGTACTTTTGCTCAGGTAAATGTGATTTGTTTGCCAAAACAAATCAGCAAACATAACAGGTAACTTGTTAAAAAATGTTCAACATTTAAAGTCTAAATTATGAAGAAATTAATCAAATTGCAGAATATTAACTTAGTAAGCCTGCTTCGACATTTAACAGTGTTTTAATGGTTGTTAATGTTTAATAAATAAAATCAAGTGCTAAACTCTTACAAAGAATTAATACATCCTTTATAATTATTAAGAAGTGGTACCCATGATTCAATAAATGAACATCATAAATAAAACTGCTATGTTTGGAATTTATCTCTATTTTGTCTTTTTTAAAAATGTCAAAATTTCACCTTAACGCTTAAATCAGTGCATTAATTGTCAGAGGCACAAAATGTCCCAAAGCAATTTCATATGTACAGTAAAAGAAGGAAAAGCGGCTGAAACCAACAAAAAAACATTATACATTCTGCTTCTATGCCATAAACTAAATAAACAATGTTATTATTTTTTCCTCCATTGTCCAACCAGCCCTGTACGGAGCGGTGCAGCTGATGATGGACTGCTTTCATCCCGGTGACTGAGGTCGGTCCGAAAAGACGGGGCTTCCGAGCGGAAACAAACCTGTCAGCAGCTCCGTGGAGATGATGGTGAGTTCGGTTCTGCAGACAGAAGAAGAAAAACCCACTCACTGGTTTACTTTGAGTTCATGGGCCAAGGTGCCACGATGATGCGCCGCCGCTGCTTCTTCCTGACGACACCAGAGACGAGCTGCCCCGGGACTTCCGTCAAGTTTGAGAGGGTGACAGGAAGTGGTGAGGTCAGCCTTCAAAATAAAACATTTTCCGTTTGTTGGCGAAAAAACAAAACTCACATTATTAGTAAATTAAATTAAATTAAATTAAATTAAATTAAATTAAAACGTAACATATTGTTTACTGCTGAATTAATTTGTTGAAGGCTGAAACTGAATTACTGCAAAGAAGCAAAACACCAACTAAAAGGTAAAAGAAGCAATCAAGACCTGAAACGAAACACTAACAAATAATAAAAAAAAACAGTAGGTACCAGCCAAAATAAGCAGAACACTAACTAAAAGCTGCAAAATTCAAACATTACTTAAAGTAACTCATAGATATTATAGCAATAGCCTAACTAAAAGAAGCAAGATTGAGATTAGAAGTTAAAGTAGCAAAATGCTAGCTAAAAAGCAAACAAGGGTTTTGCCAAATTAGGAAAAGACTAAAAACTAAAGGAAGCACAATGTAAGCTTAAAAATACAAGTTTCAAAAGTGTTAACTAAAAGCTAAAAGTTAGGTGACCATTAGCTCAAATCTAGGAGTTGCATAAAAAGACAGAGTACTGAAGTAGATTTAATAAATAAATAAATAAATAAATAAATAAATAAATAAATAAATAAATAAATAAATAAATAAATAAACTTCAATCTTTAAGGTTTTCTTGATGGAATTAAAGGAGTCTTGATTTATTTCACGTAAAAGGTTTTAAAAATTTTAAAATCATAAATGTAATAAAAACCTATCTGTAACATGAGCTGAATGTTTTGACAGATCGTAGCCTCTTAACATAATTGCCCAAGACATATTTGGTCACAAATGACTTAGGCATATACGCTATGTGGCTGTCGATATAAGATAGACTAAAATATCAAAGTATGTAGAAGGAGTCTGCACAACGTGTGCAGAAAAAACAAACAAACATTGGTGTGAATTTATTTAAATGTTTAAATGCTGATTTAGGGCTGTTTAAACTGGCCCAGTTTACGCAAACTAGGATTTAGTAAACAGCACTAAATCAGTATTTAAATAAATAAGATTAAATCAAATTAAATTGACTTAAACCACTTTTATAGCCAAAGCACAGTTAAAGTCACGTGACTAAAGCTGTTTGTTTTGAAAATGTTTGACCCGATAAGAAAAATGAAGGAAATTTTAAAATATTATAACTTAAAAATGGAATGGTTTGGTATGATATTTTTGATTGCTGACCTATTAGAGAGCTTAATGCAATGCGGAAAAAATACTTTATTTTAAGAAAGATGTAACATTATTAAAAGTATGCCATAAAAAAGGTGTGCCTCTGGATTTATAGCATAAATCAGAATTTAAAACAAGAGAATGACACTGAAAACGAATCAACAAGCCTCAGCTGCTCTGGGGTTATTGTAAAGCACAAGAAAGGAAAACAAAAACCTCTGATTTGCATGTTGTCTGGGTGGGAGTGGTGCTCACCCTCTTTGTGTGTGCGTAACGTGTGTTGTGGAAACAAATCTTTCAAATGAAATTATATCTAGGACGCATGCTTCAGAGGCTGTTTAAAATGTGTTTGTACATTCATGAACTGGTGGAAGCTCTGCTGAGATCAGGTGTCAAATATAGGAAAACAAGTCACAGCCAGTCCAGGTTCTGGTTCTTTACCCAACTTATTTGCTTATCTGTGCACGTGTGAAAGTGTGTGTTTGTGCACGTGATTGCCTTTTTGTTTGCTTATGTATGGCAGTAAATCATAGGAACCCAGTGAAGTGAAGTTTGTCCTATTTATYAGCAGACGAATGCTGTTGTAAGGGTCAGCTTACACTTCTTATAACAAGGTTATAAGAGTAATTTATTTAGCAAGGATCTCTTTTAATGTTTGGATAAACATTTCTTTAG